CTATTTTTGAATGGCATGTAATCGGAAGATTTTTCACGCTATTTCTTAATTTGAAACCTACATTTAATCCATACTCTTTAGTGCAGGAGGTTGTAATGTTTGTGAAATATTGATTCTTTTTTTTTTATTAAAAAAAATATTACAAATCTCCTTCGAATTGTTAGGAAAAATCTACCTTAAGGACCCGAGATATGCACCAAAATGCACCAGAGAGCTGCTCAAGTGAAACACCGTGGTTTTGCAAGTTGTTGAATCACGACAAAACTTCCCCCAGGTTTGAAAAACCCTGGGGAGAACCCTGCTCTCCCACCTCGTACCTTAACCCAAGATAGCCTGTTTTCCTCTACTTCTTTTTCTATGAATGTCTTTTTTGGGTTGATCGGTTACCACCTAGCTAGTCACCATTTTGAAAATGTTTGGAATGATCCCCAACACCCTTAATTTGGGTATAATTTGGTTATAAATCTCTGCAAGATTTCTTCGAAATGGAAAAAAAAAACACCAACCCTGATCCTGAGGTGTGCATATATTACTGTGACGGCATGATGATGTCATCAGGAATCAAATTACAAGCGATTTTAGTTCAAGAAATGATCATCTTCTAACAATCATGTTCATCCTTTGTGATCTGATGGACCATGCCTTGATAAACCTTTTTTTTGTGCATGTGTGTACATGAAGTCACTTGAGTCACTTTATCTAATTTTCCTCTGGGCTTACCAGAAGGTCATAGTTAAGCAAATTCAACAAAAAGATTGTTAAATATGCTATTTTTTCAAACAGTTCAAGGGGTGAAGATGAAACCTTTGGCACTTTTTGTGACTATATACGGTAAACTCCAGCTAAGTCAGCACTCGCAGGACCCGAGAATTTGTGACGACTTACGCGAATGCCGATATCTGCTGTCAAAGTCGTCATTTTGCCGGCTTACATGAATGGTCTTTTGCGCACATGAGTCATTGCACTAATTGGCTTTGATTTACCCTAGTTTATCTCCTTAATGCTTGAGTTGAATCCAGCAAATTAATCCTCAAATTGTATCATCACGTTTGGGGTATTGATATAGTGGAGACCACGATACATATTTTTGCACAGTAACAAATTAAATGCGTGGGTGGTCTGGTATACAGCACTGGTCAGGACTGGTCTGGACTGCAGCACTGGTCATTCAATAAGACCACCCCCAAAATGGACAGAGCGCATGCGTACAGCCTAGAGGGGGTACTGGTATTGATATGCTCACGATGTATTTGTGATGTATGCAGTAGGACTCTCTTTTTCGACACCGATGCATGCAGCGATCACGGGCTGTGCCAATTAACCACTTTTTCACTCGACACTTTGCCAACCGCAGTACAGGAAGTCAATGCCAATGTGGATTTGTTGAATGCCGACTTACACAAAGGATTTTGTAATGCTTTTTATGGAAAGGGGACCGAGAGTTACACGATGACTTGAGCGATATGCCGACTTATAAAAGCTGACTTAAAAATAAAATATTCAATGGAAATGCATTATGGACAATCGGGACTTTAGTCAGACGGCCGACTTGAGCGATTTGACGAGTTGTACGATGTCGGTGTAGCCGGAGTTTACTGTATATCAAATTATAATCGAATTAATGCCAAAATTTGAAAAAATACTTTGCACTTTAACCATGATAACTTTATTTAAGCGTGTGCACACGCACACACGTTTGTTTATGGATGTAAATCGAGAATTTCCTATTGTTCCTCATCATCAATGTTTTGTTTACACTCTTTTTTTGAAACAGCTCCTATTGGTTTTGTACCTGTTTTCTAATCGAGGACGTCCTCGATTTGACTCCAGTCCTCAATTACACCTTTTATTGTTTTAATTCAAATTCATCATTTTATCCATATCCAGGGATGATGGTCATGGCAGGAATAGTATCAGCTATATTGTTGGGCTACATATTGCTGCAATGTCCTCAAACTGGAGGTAAGGTGTTATTCTGTATTTTGCAGGTTTTTTAACGATTAGTCATTCGGACAACAGCTGGTCCGGCCTAAGTTTGTAACCAAGTTGGGTTTTAAAATGGGGGGATATTTTTTATTGTTTCTCGTTCTATTGTTAAGCGCTTTGAGGAATCTTTGATTCATATTGCGCTATATAAATGCTATTTTATTGGCTGTACCGGCTTTGTTTTCGTTAAGATTTTAAATCAAATTAGATTTTGCCCTTCACCGACGTATAAACACTGAATTCTTAGTGTGTTACCTCCTGAGTGAAAGTTGAAAAAATCACTCGGGTGGGACTCGAACCCACAACCTCCTGCTTTCTAGTGCAGATGTCTTACCACTTGACCACCGAGCTAACGGGATCGGTTGGCTGGTTCGAATCAGATGTACATAGCAGCAGCTACTGCAATAACTCCATAAGATGGAATTTTGCCTTGGGGTGATGTATATTGAATTAGGTTTTTGCCCTTCACCGACGTATAAATACTGTATAATCAGTGTGTATCACACTGAGTATATCACACTGAGTATACAGTGTTTATACGTCGGTGAATTAAGGGCAAAACCTAATTTGATTTACATCACCCCGACGTAAAATTCCATCTTATGATTAGTTATTGCGGTACCCGCTGCTATGTACATCTGATTCGAGCCAGCCAACCGATCCCGTTAGCTCGGTGGTCGAGTGGTAAGACATCTGCACTAGAAAGCAGGAGGTCGTGGGTTCGAGTACCACCCGAGTGATTTTTCCAACTTTCACTCAGGAGGTAACGCACTGAGTATACAGTGTTTATACGTCTGTGAAGGGCAAAACCTAATTTGATTTACATCACCCCGACGCAAAATTCCATCTTGTGAATAGTTGAGTGGTTGAGCACAACCCGACCACTCTTTGGATTTGTTACAATTAATCTTTCTTTGAGTGGTCGGGCACAACCCAACCACTCTCTGTTATTGTTCTGATAAATCTTTCTTTTGCTTTTCCGGACAAACCTTCTCCGCGGCTTTTCTCGTAAACGGTTCATGAAATGAACTTGTAACTTTCAATATATATATCGACCCTCATGCCTAGTGGTGCATATTACTCTGACGTCATGATGACGTCATCGGGTGTCAAATTACAAGCGATTTTAGCTGAAAAAGTGACCAATTACTTTCACCTATAACATTTGCACAAAATAATCAATAGTGTTTGTATTCTGTAATCGGATAGACCATGAATTGATAAACATTTTTGTCATGTAAGTGAACCCGGGTCTACTGGAAGGTCAAAGTTAGGTGAATTCAAAATTAACACTTTAGCCTGAAATCAAAACAAACAGCCAGTCCGCAGTGCACGCGATAATGAGGTCAAATCCCGAAGTTTCTTTGCACGGCCTACGTCACGAATCGGCCGCGAGATTTGCACGCGTTTTTGCGGGAGTTCGACCGATGTCATGAAACGAACTACACGTTCTAAAATCAGCAGTGGGCTTCCAAGATGGCGTGGTAAGTAGACGGTGCACGTTTTTCTGAGTCGAATGATATAAAATTTGTCAAGTTTTAGAAGGTTTTTGCTGTTTTTTTTTACTTGTAAGTCGAGGTATGATTTTGTAGACGGTTTGAGTTGTGATTTTATTTGCTGCGCCCTGACCCAGCTAGAAAATATTAGAGAAAAAGACCACTGCAAATCGAAAGAAAAAGCGATGATCTTTCGTATGGTACAAAGTTTAGCTTGTGGCGACATCGAGTTTTGTTTTCTTGAGCCACTTATTCCGAGCGAGATGTCGCTTTTTCGGCGGATTTTAAAGGGGGTTTCCACATTTGCGCATGCGCTATGCATATGTACATGTACGTGTACGTTTACACATGTACATATGTATGCCCCATAATTTTTAAAAATTAATACATTTCATCATGAAAAAAATATTATTTGTCAGGCATGTCTGGAGTGGAAATGTAAATTTTGTGTTTTATTGTTCAGCCTTCAGATTTATTGGCTAGTTTTGGCCATTTTGGTAGATTAGCGGGTACATTTAACAATTTATGAACATGCACAAGTACATGATCATGCATGCAAAATTTGAAAGACAGTTATGGTTATACTAAGTATTAGGCCTACTACTAGGGTATGCCTACTAATAATTACTATAAATATATACACCACGTAGGCCTAGGCCTTCATGTATTTATGAAACAGGCAGACATGACAAATTTTTGTGTACATGATTTATTTAAAGGTTAGGCCAATGCACTTACATGTACCTTCCTTTTTTTCTGTTATTGTTTCATGAATGTAGGTCAGGCCGTCCACCACCATGGCCTATTCCACCACGGCCACCAACACCAAGTTTTAAGCCCACTCGTGCAGTAAAGGCACTTATTATTGGAGATTCGTTGAGCAAATTTTTAGCCGAGAATGTCTCGTCTCCATTGGTTGAGGTCGAAGTGATCACTCGTCGCGGAGCAACAATATCCAGTCTGAGTAAGTTTTTACAACAGCACCGAGACAACTTCGAAGCTGCTCCCGATATTGTTGCTGTCCATGTTGGGACCAATGACCTCCCTTTGGGATTTTTGCACAGCAACATTCGACAGTTTCGTGACCTGATTGCTGCATTGCATGACGTTTTTCCAACATCGAAGTTGGCAGTCAGTGCAATACTTCCCCGCAAGGACAATGACGGTCTTGATGTTTCCCGTATTTACCACAACATCAAGTTTGGTAATGTCTGTGCCGAGCTGCACTGTCAATTCTTTGACATTGGTGAAGAGCTACGGGACTGGCACTTTGCTAGAGATGGCCTGCACCTCAATTGGGATGGCAACTCTCTTTTTGGTGAAATTTTTCAAGCCCATCTTGAGAGATTGTCCAGGAATCTACTATCTTCGTGTACGTCACGGAAGGCCGGGCCCGTTTCTACCCCTTCCTCTGCATTGTTTGTTCCTCCGGAACTGAAGAAGCTTGTACAGTCGCCGAGACGAGTCAAGAAAACAAAGTCAGAAGATCCACCTCCTCTACCTCCTCCACTACCTCCACCTCCTCATCCCCCAAATCCACCGGAGCCAAGAAGAATGAAGATGCCGTCCGCTGCAGCAGTAAAAAAGAAGCTGAAACGTATTGATGTTCACATCCAAGGTGAAGATTTCAAGCTTCGTGGACTAGTTCCATTCCATGCATCCGTCATCAAGCCAAAGCCTTCTGTGGGCAAAATTTCATACATCAGGGTCCCATCAGCTCACCGGTCCAAGGAGGTGGAGAGTCACGTGGCCTTCCCAAAGCCAGCGTCTCCCTACATTGCAGCCCGGAAGAGAGCTCAACGTAGAGGGGTAACTGCGAGGAGGATACGGAAACGGAGGCGACGGCGAAAACGCAAGGTTTGAATACAATACCATAGTTTTTGTTTAAGTGTTCAGTACTCTTCCATAAATTATCTCCAAAAAAAGTTCCTTTAGAGTGCAGTCAATAATATCTGAGATGAGCATGGGTAGGTTTTAATGTGAGTTGGAAGAAATTTAAAAATCATTGCAGTGACAAAGTGTGCTTGTGATTGTTGTTGATAATCAGTTTTACATTAAATTTGCAAGTCAAACCAAATTAGCACTTTATGTTGCCGATTAAGTATTTTCCAAAAAAAACAGAAAGAACCAATTTGAAATCTGTGCTAATTATCTTAACAAACCAATGACAGTTATGTGTATCATTCTTTTATATTGCGATACAGTTTGTTTTGTGAAAAGAACTGTCGTTACCTTGTGGCAATAACTGGCAAAAATATACCATGCTATGAGTTTTTTCCTTTCGTATTTGTTTTCACACACAGCTTGGGTGTCAGATATTTCAGACCACATGTGCATCTCGACTGGGCTTCTGTCAACTGCCGGCTGATCAAACATGTAGTACTGCGGAGTCTTCCAATATGGTAAATGTAAACGAAAAATTGCAGGGGTAAAAAAAAGTAACGGGGGAAAAGCCAAACGGAGCAGACCCCCATGCAAGAAAGAACAATGTGGTCCTTGCCAAATTTGTGGGAAAATAAGCACAAGATGGACTCACTTGTCAACATTAAAAAATGACACACTTAAGCAGTTTGTACTTCAAGTATTGCCACATCTGTCATTACATGATCGTATATGTAATGCTTGTCATCACAAATATTCTAGGAAATCAAAAAATCCAGTGTATACACCTGAAAAAACACGTGTCAAAAAAAGACCAATATGTTATTTAAACAGTTTTAACATGTGCTATTCGATGTCTACAGTAGACTCTTCATTTTCATTAGAACAGATTCAGTCTTGTTTTCAAGTGCTGTTACATGTAACACATGCTTCTGAAATTCCCAATTTAATCCCATTATGCGGTGCACACAAATCACAGTTATATAATTTTCACTCAAATGCAAAGTGTGGGGTTTGTGGCATCTTTTTTTCATCTAGGTCCAGACGGTATCTATGTACAAAGTTAGATATAGATAATGCTTATTTCCAACTTAAAGTAAACAAGGAGGAAAGAGCTATAACTGTGACGAGTTGTTTGTGCTACAATTGCTACTGTGTGGCAAAAAGGGACACAGCACCTGACATAACTTTAGATGATGTGCGACAAGGTTTAGACTTCACTGAAGTCGACGAAGAATTGAATCATACTGCTTATGCACTAAGTAATACATGTAAGGATATTTGTAGGGGCTGCAGTTCTGAAGCTTTCCTCCTTGCGGATCTTTATGACCAGTTTCTTATTAATCTTGAACTTCAGTGCAAAAAGGATTCCTCATCTCCTGGTACATGTTATGATTCATGTAAAAAAGCTTGCAATAGCAGATGGTTACTTTCTGGAATTCTTAACAGGTTCAGTAATTTACTAGAAGTACACAAGATGATTGCCCGCAAGCAAAGCATTTTATTAATTTACTCTAATCTGGATATAAGAGTTGCACTTCATATGTCTTATTCAAAGTTGCGGCATCAACGACGTAAAACTGAAAAGGAAGCTCCCATGGATCAGAGCGATAAACAGTTTTTTACCTCTCCGGGTGATATTGTCTCAATGGCGCAGTATGTCCTTCCCCAGATTAATGAAAAGCTGAAACAGCAGTCAAGAGAAATAATGGAACATTTCACGCAGTTTCCTACCCAAATTGCTGCATTTGATTTTAATTCCCTTCTTGAAATGATTGATCCGCTGGTGTGGAATTGTGTATCTGTACTAACTGCAAATGTTGATGAGCTGAAGTTCATTCACAGTAATGAATTAGTTTGGGATAGCAAAAAGGTCATGTTCCCTTCATATTCCAAATCACATGGACTGCAGCGTAGAAACAGAAGGATTGTCCTGGTGATGTCAATGCAGTTTGTTTTAAGCGAATCAAACAATTACCCATTCCACATCATCATTGCTAACTGTGTCAAGAGATTGTCTCATTCATCCAAACTTATCAGGTTACTGAATCACTCAGGATTGTGCACATCTGAAGATACTCTTGATAGATTCTTAGAGAATATTAAACAGCTTCGCCAGGAGGCAGGACTTCTGTCTACCATTGAACCCACCTCTTTTACAGTAGTAAGCATTGATAATATTGATGTACTTGCCAGTCATGCTGCAATTACTTCAACCGGTTCTGGAAGGAGCTGGCATGGAACCTCTGTCATGGCACAACAACCAAAACCAGTCACAGAAAAATTAAGTCCTCTTGGGGAGTTAATTGAAAAATCACCAACATCATCAATTCCAGATTTTCAAATTGTTCCCATTTTTGGGGATGGACGCTGTCTTTATAGGTGCATTGCATCATTTAGCAGATCCGACATCTTATTTTGTGGCAGGAATGAAGTTGGTATACCAATTGACAGTGTTTGTTTTCAGGAAGAGCAACAGTTGGCGGATCAAATTAGACGCAGTGTGTGTATGTTTTTAGAACAACACATAAATTCCTTGGAAGGACTGCCTGAAGGAATTCAGCATGTTCTTTTGGAGTCCTCGAGTAATGAATTTTATTCATCATTTGCAGAGAGAATTAGGGACAACAAAAATCCCAGTACATATGCTGGTCATTTGGAAATGTGTGCCCTTGCATGTATCCTGCAGACTGATGTTCATGTCTATCAAAGAACTGTCCAGGGAATGAAATTGGTAGCAAGGTATCCTAATGAGCAGATGTCACATTATCACATATGTTTACTATATCGCCCTGGTTCTAATTCCTTGACTGCCCATTTTGATTTGCTCTACTGTGCAAACTGCAGACCCAGTATTGAAGTTCTACTTGACATGCACAACATTCATCATGATACGCCTTCTGTGAATGTGCTTGACACAGTTTTTTAAAAATGGCAAGCAGCCGTTCCTGTTCTGCACAAACCAAACTTCATTAACCTTGTGTCAGGTGGTATGTCTGGAACCAGATCAGTTAAGTCATGTCCAGAACACCTGCAGCATCACGAAAGTATTGCAGAAACATTGGTTACATCTGCAAAAGGTAGTACATCTTGTGACACTAAAAAAGAGAAAGCAGAAGCAAGTCACAAACCTTCTAAAAGGAGACAAGTTGGGAGTTCAGCTTTACCTGTGCCAGAAAAATCTCATTTTTCAATTCCACTTTTCAAAACATTCATTCGTCAAAACTTGTCACTTGAAAACTTTTTCCCTTCAGATGAGGAAAAGCTTCAGGAAAAGCAACTTCATTATGATGTATTTATGCATGTTGCAGAGAGATATGTTTCTGTTACAGCCAAAACTGAGCATACAGTTCCAGGTCTGAAATGTAACCTGATGTTACACTCAAGTCCCCGATGTGAGAAGTCCAAATTTTCTTACATTTATGTGCTGAACGAAAAGGCGGATTGCGCTGGAACTGTAAAATCTGTTGTTGGCCTTCTATATGACCTCTTCAAAATCTCAAAATCAGTTAACCATCTTGTTCTTGCAGGAGATGGTGCAACAGTGAAGATTTTGCTGGATGTGAAAAAAGAATATGGTGAAATGCTAGACTGGGTTGTGCCTTATTTAGGTGATTGGCATATCTTGAAAAATTTCCAAGAAGTTTTAATGAAAATATTTTGGGATGCTGGGTTAAAAGATATTGCCAAAACAACCCACAAAAGCAAAACACTCAACAACTTGAAAACTTGCAGTAATTTTAAGAGAACTCATCGATTTATATTGCAAGTTTATGAGGCCATTTACATTCATCAATTGAAATCTTTTTTAGATTTCAGAGTTGACAAAGACAGCACATCCTGTTCAATTAGCAATTCATCACTCCATGATACCCTCATAAGCACTGTAGAGCAAGTGCATATTCAAGGGGATTTTTGTAATTACTTGGGAATGGAGGAATTCATTTCAAAGGTACATAGCAACCTTCATGAATTTTTGCCGAATTTTCTTGAGGAGTTCACCGAGTATTGTACCGAGATGTCAACAAAATTTGAAACTTTCAAGTTCTGGAATAATTTTCTGAAGGTGGATTGCTTTTGCTATATACAGTTGTGGACAGCCATGCGAACTGCTAACTGGGATATGCGACTTGTTGCCTTGAAAAGGATGGGCCCGTTGTTCCATGCATTCGACAGGCAGAATTATTCCAAAATGATTCCTATCCATCTTTGTCAAATGCATGGTCTACCAAGCTACATCTTGGATCACTTCAAAAATGGTGCATTTGTCTCGAGTATTAAGGGGGTCAACTTTTCCTCGGTTGGACTAGATGAGGCTCATGAAATGCTGATCAACAAAGATTGCAAAACAGCTTTGTCTCGAAGCCTGCCGACAAACATGGAGAAAATTGCTGGTACATTAGAGTTCCAGGCTCTTCTTATAGACAATTTCCAGAATCAACTGTCTTTTTCTTCATTGTGTGGTGTTCTTCAAAGAGACTTTGCCTCATCAGTCATTAAGTGTGAACTTCAAAATGTGAAGAGTTACTTTGCCAAGGTTTCTGAAAGTACAATGTTTCAGGGCGATCAACTACAGAATCTTTCTCATGCTTTTGATCATACACCCGCCACGAAAGCACAGCAAAAAGCACTTTTGACCTACAGAGAAATTGGAAATTCTTCATATGATACATATGTGCGTTTTAACGTTTTGCATGAGTCCAGTGTTGCAAAACCTGTTGTAAGAAGGCATCGACTTTCAACATTTGCCAAGGAGAAAATTACAAAGAGGAAAATCAGTTACCTTGAAAAGGAAAAAAAATTGATTACTCTTTGTTACAAGAGGACAATAGCGTATTCAGAAAAGCACAACCAGCCAGTCCATCAATTATTTCAGTTCATAGAAACTCCACGCGCAATTTGTACACCCTCTGGGTTGCCGAACAAAGGCGCAAAATATATAACGTATGACTTGTTTGGCAAGAGGTATGCTGAATCATATTCACCAATTACAGATGCTCATGCTTTTCCTCCGGGAACCTGTCTGATTGCAGAGGGGATGAACATAATTTACACTAATCCTCTTTCAGGTTTTAGATTTTTCAAAGAATACGCTTTTCTGATTGTATCAAGGTGGGTGACACCATTTTTCAAGAGAAAATACAAGGAGGTGCGTATCTTGTTCGATCAGGTGTGTTCACAGGGAATTTCGCCTAAAGGTTTTGAACGGGAGAGACGTGATGCTGGACAAGATGACGAAGTGGAAGTTTTTGAGAACATTGAAGACCAAACACCTCTACCACTGAACTGGTCTAAATTTCTGAAAGTTCGTCAGAATAAACGTAAACTTTGTCAGTATTTGTCACAGAAACTGGTAGAGATTGTGCCGTCTTCTTTGCAGTCCTCTGATCAAATGTTTGTAACTTCAGGAGGATTTCCAAGCCTTGCACTGGAAAGGTCTGAATGGACTGGAATGTGTGTTTCATTGGCTGGTGTATTTCCCCATAGCATTGTTCATAATCATGAGGAAACAGACACACAGATATGGCTACATGTTGAAGATACATCATGCTTATCTGTGCACATTTACTCCATTGATCGTGACATAGGTATGATTGGTTTACCGCTATGTTTTGGTGAAAAAACAGTTGTAATTCAGTATAAAGCATCCGGAACAGTGGAAAAGTACCTGAAGCTCAACACGTTAAGGTCGGCCCTTAGTAATGATTCAGATT